AATATGATTTTTGAGTAATTCCATTTATTCTTGAGGACATGGGAGAAGTCTTGTTATAAGTAATCATGTGAAGTTGATCTCTGTTCAATATTTTGATGACATATTATGTTATTCTTCCTCTAGTGGTGTCATGGGAACACCGACTACATGACACATTACCGTGTTTGGGCCTAGGGGAAGGCACTGTGGGATTAGTAAGTAGATGATGGGTTGCGAGAGTGGCAAAAGCTTAAACCCTAGTTTATGCGCTATTCCATGAGGGTTGATTTGGATCCATATGTTTCATCCTACGTTAGATTTATCTTACTTCTTCTTTCGTAATTGTGGATGCTTGTGAGATGGGGTAATCATAAGTGGGTTGTTTATTCAAGTAAGAACAACACCCTAGCACCGGTCCACCCACATAACAATTTATCAAAGTAGTGAACATGAATCAATGAATCATGATGAATGTGACTAGACGAAATCCCTATGTGTCCTCGAGAATGCTTTGCTTATTATAACAAGTACTTCTAGTTTGTCCTCTGCAATATAAGGATTGGGCCACCTTGTTGCACCTTATTACTTTGGTTACTTGTTACTTGCTACGAATTATCTTGCTATCAAACTATCTGTTACAACTATTCTACAACACTTGCAGAGAAAACCTTATTGAAACCATTTATTAATTCCTTTTGCTCCTCGTTGGGTTTGACACTCTTACTTATCGAAAGGACTAAGATTGATCCCATGTACTTGTGAGTCATCAGTATGCCCATACCCTATTGATTATCTTACACCATTTGTTAGAAACCCTAAGCTACCAAGTCCTTGTATGTAAGCTTCATATCCAACCCCATCCTCCGTCCAATAATCAATTCCCCATCCATAGAAACCTCTTGGCACCTCCAACATAGATGGAACTAGAAATAATGTCACCACCCTTCTATGTTGTGTTGATCTACCCTATGGGTACCCATTGGGCATGGATATTTACCTGATGGGTAGGGTATGGGTAGGATTTTATGCCCATAGAAACATGGGTATGGGTATGGGTATAGGATTATTGTACCCGCACCATACCCTGCCCATTGCCATCCTTCATAGATTCTATACCAACAGTTGATAAAGCAAGGGTGTGGCTGTGTGGGAGAAGACTCTCCGGAGGTCGTCATTGTAGGTTTTGAGAAATGAAGGTGTGAGGTAGGCATGGGCGGTGGCGTCTCCGACTTCTGTGGCGCCAATTGCCATGGCCCATCGAAGGGGCTTTTTTGTGAGGGTAACCGAATGTGCCTTCTTTGTTAAGAGCAACTCTAGCAGATCCGCTATATTTGCCCGTCCATTATATTAACCACCTATATAAGGGGCGGGGATGATTTTTCGTCCCACGCTGATCTGCTATATTTGGTCGTCCGCTAATTTTTTTTGTAGGATCCTTCAAATTTCGGCCCGCGTCAAACATATCTATGCCCCCTTCTTTTTGCTGGTTCCTCTATCCCACCTGCTCCTTAGCGCGAAGGAAACTTTCGACCCTTCCGTTCCTGCTTCCACTCGTCGCTGTCGCCGATCTCGCCGGCCCCTCGTCTTCTCGCCTCGCCATGCTGCCAATCACCGCTATGGAGTACCTGGAGCCATCGGGCGGTGCATGCGCCGCTGCCCCCGACGGTGCTGCTCTGGCCTTCTGCGCCTCCCGCAACCATGCACAATGCTGACGCGCCAACACCTTCCACCCCCGACATCAAGCGAAAGTGACAGTGGAATCACCTCATGCAAGGAAGTGTGGTTGCCGCCGGGTCGCCTTCTTCTAATGCCGTTGTGCTCCCTCCCGTGTTGGTCGCCGGCTCGAGGAAGAACGCCTCCTCCGGCCCCTCCGTGGCACTGGCGAAGTCACAATCAAAAGGACCAAGGAAGAATGTGGCTGCGGCTCAAGGTCGGGCTCCTTATCCACCCCCTCCTGCCGGCCATGTCCTCCCCGATACCGCCCACTCGACCGGCCATGCCTAGAACGTATTTGATGAAACGTCCGAGAGGTAAAAGAAATCCTTTGCTTCGGTGATCTTTGGTTTGGTTTTGGATCATTTCCTTATGTTTTCGCCATTGAATTTTGTAGCGAAAACATTCACTCAACATATATCAAAATATTGGAGGAGAATGCGGTGGAATTGAGTGCTCCACCTGATGAGTTTGATGCGACAAATCAAGAGAACGTCGAAGCCAAGGTGGAACAAGGGAATGCTGATGGTGACGAAGTAAAGGAGCTTGAGGAGGCCGAGTTCGATGCTAGCCAAGACAAAATAGGGAAAAGGACTGGCAACTACATGGAGACAGAGGATGTTTGCTTGATTCGAGCATGGGAGAGTATGTCACTTGATGTGGTGCCCGGCAAAGATCAAAGCACAATGAAGTATTGGCAGCAGATCAAGGACAAGTACCATCGGATCTTGGCGTTCGTCTCTAGTCGTTCATTAAGGTTAATCCAAGGCCGTTTGGACGTGATCAAGTAAACATGTGGTCCATTGAGTGGGTGCTTGGAGCAAGTGCGGAATGCACCTCCAAGTGGTGTCACGATTGACGAGTGTGTGAGTGTTTCTTCATTTTGTTGAATATATTTGTGACATTGTCCGATTTGATGAAAGTTTGAGATCATCCTTGCCTCTGTGTCCATGTGTAGGATCGCATTGCAAATGAATATTTCAAGCAAACAACGGGTTTCAACGGCCGGTCGTTCACTCTTCACGATTATTGGCGCTTGATCAAGGATAGCGAGAAGTGGAGGGTGAGGGGCAAACTCCACCAAAGAAAGATTCTCTTGTCAATTTGGAAGACGATGATGATAGTGATGATGCACCAAGGGGAGGAAGAAACAAGGGCAAAACCGGATGGAAACAAGCGAGGGTGAAGAGATCGGCCGAGGCATCCACTTTGAGGAATCAAATTAATAAGATGATGAAGGTGAAAGAAACTATTTTGGTTAGGCATTTGGATACTGAAGTGGCCATAGCTGGGAGGAAAGAAAAACACAAGGAGGCAAAGTGGGAGAGAAGGTGTGCCTTCAAGGAACGCAAGATCTCTGGTTCATGATGATGAATCTGGAGGGCATGGATGCAACGACAAGAGAATTTTGGGAGATGAGAAGAATGGCGATCATGTGTCAGGGGAAGATGGACCTTCAAAATCTTATGGCTGGTGGTGGTGGTTTCAACAATGGTGGTGGCATAGGTTTCAAAACTGGTGGTGGGGGTTTTGAGGTGGTGTTGGTTTCAGTAATGTTGGTGGTGGTGGGTTTAGAGGTGGTGTTGTCTTTGGCTATGGTGGTGGTGGGTTTGGAGTTGGTGTTGGCTTCGG